TAATAATAATAATAATAATAATAATTTATTTGTACCCCACTACGATCTCCCCAAGGGACTCGGTGCGGCTTACATGAGGCCAAGCCCACAGCACATCAATAAACAAAAGCGATAACAAATAATCAATACAAAACAGTTAAAATAAAACTCAAAAACAAAAACATACACAATAAGCAATAAACAATAAACAATAACAATAACATACAGCATTTAAAAACCTATGGCCGGGCCAAATGTAGTAATTAAAATTTAAAAATGCTGGGCATGAAACAAGGTAAGGTAAACTAGGATAGGGTTTTCAAAGGAAGATGAGGGCGTGTAAACAATCCTAAATCAATATTAAATTCATAGGAAAGAGTTGTTTATTTTAGAACCAACTACAGTGTTTCCTCGCTACTTCGCAGTTCGCTTTTAGCGGACTCACTGTTTTGAGGGTTTTTGAAAATATTAATAAAAAATATAAAACATTAAATATGTATGTCCACTGGAGGCCAGGGACCACAGAAGTGTGGCGGCCTGAGGCACAGTGGGGAAGGCTGCTTCCCTGGCCTGCTGCTGCCTGCATGGCTCCGGAGGCCAAGGAGGCATTCAGGCGCTCTTGGGATGGGCTGGGAGGCAGGTAAGGAAGTGCAGGTAAGAAAATAATATATTAAATATATAAAATAATATATAAAAATTAAAATTAATATGGTGTCTCTACTTCACGGATTTTCATTTATCGCGGGTGATTCTGGAACGGAACCCTCATGATAAGTGAGGGAAGACTGTAGATAATGCTTGAGATTATATTCAGGCATGCTAAAGTGGATAGCTGGACATTGCCTGTCTTTTCACATGGTGTATCTACATAAATCAATTCCAGTTTGAATTGACACATTTAAATACCATTTCTAGTACTTCATAGTTTGTTTTATGCAATTATGTAAGAGGATAAAATTATCATTATTTACTTAAAATAATTAATATACTGAAAACTATTACTATCCAATCTTTTCTCCTTAACAAGATCAGACAAAATCCAGTAATAACAAACTGTAAAACATGCAAAAGCCAAAGTATTTAAGTGGACCAAAAATTCTGATTAAAAAGGAAAAAAAAAAAAAGCTAAAAGCAAGCGTAATATAACATTGCATGATTAATATGTGGTGTTATGGCAGGATGATGAAGTTGAAGCAAAACAGACCATAGCACAAGTGGCCAAGAACATACTCTCATAGAGCAGGCCCCAGTTTCAATCTCCAGATTGGACTGGGAGAGACTTTCTCCCGAAACCCTGAGGAGTCATGGCTGGCCAACACTGACAATATCAGTTTAAGTCAGGAATAGGCAAAGTGCAGATTGTGAAACGCACGTTCCCTCACATAGAGGAGGTTATGTAGCTCCAGGGCTATACAATGGTCCAAGAATTATTGGAGAAGATCTTGTTTTGCTCCCAAATAACGCCTGGAAGTCTGGAGGGCAATTCCTTTAGGTTTGCTGGCACCTTGAATCTCAAAAATCAAAATTCTGCAAAAAAATTGTTATGGCCTCTAAATGTTCTCGAGCCACATGGAAGACTCAAAACCCTGGTGAGAATGCTGCCCTAATCCCTTTAGGGCATTTGGGACCTACTTGTATGTCCTAAACTGGCCGGTTTCTTCAGGTGTGATGAAGATCCCAGTCTCATTGCTGTCTATTCCTGCTATGATTGTCAGCTTCTGGACTTGAAAAAGAGACATGGCTTCCTCAGGCAGCAAAATACCTTTGGCTGGTCTTGTCATAATACATACCAGGCACATTCATGCTCCAAGTCATACCTTAAATCAGTTATTTGGATTCCTATGTGCTCATTTTTGTTGATAAACTGCTATGAAAATCATATAAAAGTTGGTTCTGGCACCAGCTGTCCCACTTGCCATATTCACAGGGGAGAAATGAGTGAAAAGAAGGAATTCTCAATATTAGGAATGAAAAAGATTTTTAAAAGGACACAATCCAACTAGAGTTTTTAACCATCACAGCAGAAAAATCCTTTTCTTTTTCATAGGTACGCCACACTTTATTTCATATTAATGCTTCTTTGTATTTCCTTCTTCACAGGAACTCCAAGAAATTAAGGAAGGTGATGAAGAAATTATGCATGGATTTGCAGCCATTATAGGAATAAATCAGTGCAGGTTATTAGCTTTTGCTCATGTTCAGAGAAGGCTGACATCATCTGTCTTCTAATAGAGTCGTTGATGGAAGAGAAACGGGCTCCAATGGCAACCTTATTTATTGTGGGATTATGTCGTCGCTATTTTTATTTTGTGAAGGAATTCTAGTCGAGCAAGTGTTGTTAAGGCTAGATTTGGACTCAATGACATGTCACACACATTGCATTTAAAACATTCAGTTCCTGCTATTTCTATGGGCCCTTCCACACAGCCCTATATCCCAGTATATCAAGGCAGAAAATCCCACAATATCTGCTTTGAACTAAGTTATCTGAGTCCACACTCAGATAATGTGGGATTTTCTGCCTTGATATTCTGGGATATAGGGCTGTGTGGAAGGGCCCTAGATAGGTTTTGGAGAGACTCCTGATTGAAACAATAGAGTCAGTGATTCTCAATTGTTTTCTGGATGTGCTAGATACTATACCTCAGAATCCTTGTCTATCATTGGTTCAAAACATCTGGAGGACCAAAGCAATACAGAATTATATGGAATATTTTGCATATCATAAGTACCTTTGTTCAACCTCCCTTAAATTCTACATGTTGTTTGCAGTTTAGTCAAGGTTGGCTTGAAGGATCCAGGTAGCAGCAGAGAGTTTCACTCATTTGATGATTTTGCAGGGATTTGCAAAGTCTGAGCCATAGTAGATAAAGTGGTGCCAAGCTGCATTAAATCTACAGTGCAGATGCACTCTAAAATACAAGGAAATGTATGTCATATTTTTCCAAAGTAGGGCTAGGATACACATGGCCTTCCAAATATTTTTAGCCTGCAGTTCCCATCAGCCTTCATTGGAATAGCCAACAGTGAAGAATGGTGTGAGTTGCATTCCAACAATGTCTGCAGAGAAGGTGGGAGGAACCAAGACAAGTTATCTATTTTAAAGCCAAATTTAATTCTTGCTGTAAGTTGGAAATTGAACTGTGGTTGATAACAAAAAGAAATCCCTTTCTCACCATTCTGGTTCAGTGATGAAGAAATTCTGTAATGTTGACTTATTGTAGGTTAATCTCCAGGCTTATCTAAACCGTTCCCAAAAAAGTGAGATTTCTTGCTACAAAATGTTTCGTTTATTACTTTTTGGGATGCCTTGGAAAAGCATGGATGAAATAAGATGGCAGGACAAATCAAGATTTGGATTCCATAGCACTATTGGAAATTGGCTTATCATGAGTCTTTTTGTTTTTGTTACAATTGTTCTGGAGATCTGGGTGCTTTCCTTTTTAATATTTCAAAAATCCTAGTGTTTTAGCATGAATACTCTGCCATCTCTATTCCACCATAAACAAAACTATAGAGGAACACCCAATTAATTGAAACTAGAGAATTGTTATCCAGAAAAGGGTTTGTTTTGTGTTTGTTTGCCTTTTTTGTTTTGCTGTGATTTTAACTGGAATTATTTTTTTTTCAAGACCAATTTTTACTTAGAAATAAAATGTTTTTGTTTATAATGGGAACTACCTCTGGTTCTATGAAAAGGGCAATGTCATTATGGGTCTCAATTTTGGCAACAGATAGAAGAAGAAACAGGGTTGTTTCTACCGGCTGTTAGGCATTGTGGGAGTTGAAGTCCAAAACACCTGGAGGGCTGAAGTTTGCCCATTCCTGATCTAGAGGGCTGATTTTTTCTTTAAGGAGAATACTGACTCCTCAAGTATTTGAAAGAAAGAGATAGTTTTCTAAATGCAAAACAACAATGATTCTTTGGGGGGGGGGGTGTTTTTGTTTTGCAAATGAATAATCTTTTATTAGTCATGCTGAAATAATTTCAGACTGATCATATTTTCAGATATGGAGGATAGTTTTTTTATGGCAACACCCTGCATTAGCATGTTTTGCAGTTTATTCAGAAGGCTGCAAGGGACGGATAATTCAAAAGATTGCCTTGGTTTACTCCCTTCCTCCAATAAGAAAAGAGCTCTACTGGGGGATATTTTGGATCTACTTCATGAATCCCAGGTTTATTCTAGGTTCAGTCAGGTCCAATGAGAGTTCACATGATGGGAAAAACTGGGGAGATGTCAAACAGCTGCTGTCAGGTCGGAAACTTCAGTAGATGGACAAAGAGCCTGACAATACGACAAGGAAGCCTCAGGTTTTCCTATGACCACACCAGGAAGCAGAGAGGGGACAACGTGAATATTTATGTGGAACATTTATCTTGGATATAGCACGAATGTGTGAACATTGCCAAAAAAAGAGCAATTTTCAAGAATGAGAGTAGCAAACTTGGTTGTCTCATGCACATTTATCATTCCCGTGCTGTCACAGGAAATTAAGCATAAATAGTCTCATTAAGATGAATGAGGTATGCAAACATCTGAAATGAAGAAAATCAGGTTTGTTGTTGCTTGCCAAAAGACCAAGACCATCTGGTTTATTTGGGTTAAGCTTTCTATGAAGCGCTGAGATTTAACCCCATTACGAAGCGCGCTGGCACGGGAAAGTTGCACTCCCCCTGCTCACAAACCCTTCTCAAACCATTGGTGAAGAAATTCCAACTTAACAACAAGCCATGTTTTTAGTGATTGTGGCAATCACTGGTAACCATCAACATGTTGATTCATCATCTCCATTTGGTCCAAAAAAAATTACACAAACTGATCGCACATTCTTTTGTTTGTATCCACCGTCATACGATTACCCCAAAATTAAAGCATGCAGAACTTTGAAACAACTTCAAAGGGCAGTCTTGCACTTCTACTGGTTCAGCCTTTTTTATGGGTTCATGTTTTCCATTTGGCTCCAACATCTTGTTCTTGCTGGTGCTGTTCTAGAATTTCATTTATATATATTGCATTTCTGGCTGGTGAGACAATCTAATTAATTCCGGGGTGGGGGATAGGGATCGTAGCAGTCTCATGTTGTCTCTATAGGGAAGGAAAATAGTGGATACTGCAATTCCCCTCCCCATCACGTGCATATATATATATATATGAGAGATATATTGTACCAGACCAAAGGTGGCCAAGTCTGCCTTGGGAAAACGTGTACCAAATTCATTCAATCAAAATATATTCGACTCAGACTGTTTACACTGTTATCTCCTGCCAGTTCTGTTAATCACCACGCTCAAACATGTCAATGCAGAGGGAACACGAGACCCACGACCTCTTAATTAGATTCTTTTTCTAACAAAACAATAAAGTAGAAACAGGCCATTTTGCAATGAGAAAAGGTTGATGCCAAGGACTGTACAGTCTAAACTTTTAAGATGGTGATTCAGTGGAGGTTTGCAAGTGGGAGCATCCATCCTTTTCTCCCTCGCCATGACGTCATGGCAAGAATGAGCTCAATGCGAAAAGCAAACAATGTCACCAAGAATATTGTTATGGTTTCAAGCACAGAAGTATTAGTTACAGAAACAAATGAACCCGTGTGAAACTTGTTTGTTACAAGACCTAGTGTTTATGGCTGCAATCCTTTAAGTAATTTGTACTGGCATAATTGTGAGTTATGCCAGCCCCAGTGCTTTCTTGAAGTTATTCATGGAGATATCTAGCACAGGCAGTCCTTGAGTTACAAACATCCGCCTTATAAATGACTCATAATTAAGAACAGGGCTGAGGCAACTGGAAGTGAGGTAAATCCCCCATTAAGAAGGGAAATTCACTCTTGAAGGGTTATCATGGGGGGAAAAGGTGTCTCCACTGAAGCTTATTTTGCAACAATCCTTGTTTCCACAACAAGCCACATTTTCAGTATCAGTTCTCAGGGACAGAAAGCGAGGGGGATTCTTCTGAACAGGGGCACAGACAGCAAAATAAACACTACAGGGGTGCCAATCCTTCCCTATGCTATCCAAATCCCTCCCTCCCCCCTCTCTCTCTATAATAACTCATTGTCCAAGTGCAGTGTCTTGGTGGTGAATCCATAGGTGACAGTAGAGTCCTATTCTTGATCCCTATGTTCTTGCACAGTGAGTACATTGGTTTCCAGGTGGAAGGCGGTCCCAGTTAGGGTTGGTTTGACGCGCCTTCCTTTGGCACGTTTCTCTCTTTCGTCCTCCATTCATGCCTCTTCAAATTCTGCAGCACTGCTGGTCACAGCTGACCTCCAGTTAGAGCACGCAAGGGCCAGGGCTTCCCACTTCTCTGTGTCTATGCCACAGTTTTTAAGGTTAGCTTTAAGCCTACCTTTAAATCTCTTTTGCTGCCCAACAACATTATGTTTCCCATTCTTGAGTTGGGAGTATAGTAACTGCTTTGGGAGATGGTGATTGGGCATTCGGACAACATGGCCAGTCCAGCGGAGTTGATGGCATATGATAATCACTTTGATGCTGGTGGTCTTTGCTTCTTCCAGCATGTTGACATTTGTCCACCTGTCTTCCCATGATATTTGCAGGATTGATTTGGGAGGGAACGCTGATGGAATCGTTCTAGGAGTTGAATGTGACGTCTATAGACAGTTCACGTTGTGCAGGCATATAACAAGGTTGGGAGGACAATTGTTTTATAAACAAGTACCTTGGTATCCCTATGGACATCCCAATCCTCAAATACTCTCTGCTTCATTCAAAAAAATGCTGCACTTGCAGAGCTCAGGCGATGTTGCATTTCAGTGTCAATGTTGACATTTATGGAGAGGTGGATGGGTTGTCCCATTGTCATGGTGAGGGGGCTTGTGTGTTCTAATGAACCTGCAGGTGCAACCATTGGAGTCATTCACTCCCAGGAGGGGCCGCAGGGGAGATTCCAGACACAATCTGAAGACCTCAACAGTGGATCAGGAGGAAGAACACATGGCATATGTTGCAATGGCTGTGAAGGCGGAAGAAGGTTGCAACAGATTGCGAAGGCACCATTGTGTTAACCATGCCACTGGATGTGCACCTCACACTGTGAAGACTGTGTTGATTGGCTGTGCACTGACCTCCACACACACACACACAAAACCACACAGGCATCTTCATATAGATAGATTGATTGATAAGATAGATTGATTGGAGTTACTTAAAAATGTACCTGTCCTGAATTACAGGACAATAATAATAATAATAATAATAATAATAATAATAATAATAATAATAATCTTTATTTATACCCCGCCACCATCTCCCCAAAGGGGACTCGGGGCAACTTACATGAGGCTGAGTCCTGAAATACATTACAGCAAAATACAATAAAATAAAACCAGAACAACAGAACTAACATCACAATAAAATAGATAATGCATAGAAATAAAATAAAACAAAACAAGATAATGTAATGAGAAATCAATAACAATGAGCAGGACTTATCTTTTTTTGTAACTTGGGAACTGCCTGTAAAAGGACACCAGACCACTTTATAAATCTTTGAGCTGATGTCATCTCTAAAGGAAACATTTCCCATGAATTCAAATGCTAATCAAGGTGGTCAGTTAAAACATTCACATCTAGCTCCAACAGACAAGAGTCCTTTGTCCCACCCTGGTCATTCCAGATATATAAACCCATTTTCCTAGTTCCAACAGACCTCACTACCTCTGAGGATGCTTGCCATAGATGCAGGTGAAACGTCAGGAGAAAATGCCTCTAGAACATGGCCATATAGCCCCGAAAAAAGCCTACAACAACCCAGTGATTCCAGCCATGAAAGCCTTCGACAATACAGGAATTATTTGTTGATCAGGTTTTGACAGTGGCTGAGCTTCTTTTTATGCTCCATATGAAGTAGTATTCATCACTGTCTTTCCCTTTGGAAATAGGACTGCATGCTCCTATGACCCACCATGGTGGCAACACTCCTACTGATTGAGTCTCCACTGTAGAACTAATGCAGTTTGACACTACTTTAACTTCTGTGGCTCAGTGCTGTGGAATTTTAAGAGCTGTAGTTTCACAAGGCCTCCAGCCTTCTCTACCAAAGAGCGCCAAACTGCAAGTCCCAGGATTCTACAGCATTGAGCCATGGCAGTTAAAGTGGAATCAAACTGCATCAATTTTGCAGTGTAGATGCACCCTCATTCATAATGGCTGGGGGATTCTGGGAGTGACAGTCCAAACATGCACCCTTTCCCATGCTTTGGAAATTCCAGCCTGCATCATTTGGGGGAAAAGGGTCCAATTTATTTTATTTTATTATTTAAAAGTTTTATATACCGACCTTCTCACCTCTCTTGAGGGACTCAGACCGGTTTCCAACCATAAAATCACATACAGACAATAAAACATCATAATTCATGTTACAATAAACCTTAAAACAGCAATTACATTCAATAACTATAATGGTCAGTCGTCACACTAAAATTGTTCATCATCCTCCATCCATATCTCAGGGTATTGGCTCACTCGTCGAATGCCTGTCTCCATAACCACGTCTTCACCTGTTTCCTAAATGTCAGGATAGAAGGGGCGGTTCTGATCTCCAGTGGGAGAGAGTTCCAGAGTCGAGGGGCCACCACCGAGAAGGCCCTGTCCCTCGTCCCCACCAGACGTGCTTGCGAGGCTGGTGGGACCGAGAGCAGGGCCTCTCCAAGATCTGACCAAGGCCAGATCTGATGCACAGTGCATTAAAGTCACATGTTATGGCAAGCCCATGGATTTCAATTGGATTTTTTAAAAGCAAGGAATATTGCTAACTCTGTGAAATCAGGCTTCTCAATTGACAGCGCAAATACATTCAATTCTGTCCTATTCAGAATGACTTAAATAAATATACCATCGTAAGGAAATGATCATAAGGATTCTATTAAGAAGAGAGTCCTCTCTAGAAAGATATAAACTGTGTTTCCACTTAGCCCCGCCCACCCAGCCAGGTGAGCAAAGAGAGGGATTTTTTTGAAATGAAGTTTGGCCCAAGCGCTGTGCCGTAGCCGGGAGGTGTTTGTGGTATCACGCATGCGCAGAGGGATTTGCGCTTCCAAAGGTGACGGAGGAAGGACAGCAGAGGGTTCTTCCAAGGCGAGCGAGTGAGGCAGGAAGGAGGCGTTTTTCCCCCCAGGCCTTGTCGCGAAAGGTGAGTATTTTGGGCCGCTTCTGGGTTTCTTTTCAGCTCCGCTTTCCCGAAAGGAACTGAGGCGGCGAAAGGAGATGACTCTGGGCTTCACTCGAGGAGGCGCCTGGACGAGGCCTAGGCCCAAACGTGGCTAAACGCGCCTGGAGGCTTTCTGAGCCTTTAGGGAAATATATTGTGTGCTTTGAAGTCATTTCTATTGCTATTTATTAGTATTGGTGTTTTACTCTTTGTCCTGTGTATTTTAATGGTGTTGTGCTTCTTCTGGATGTTTTAACTGCCGTGAGCTGTGGGTAACGTTATTCTAGAATCATAGAATCAAAGAGTTGGAAGAGACCTCATGGGCCATCCAGTCCAACCCCATTCTGCCAAGAAGCAGGAATATTGCATTCAAATCCCCCCTGACAGATGGCCATCCAGCCTCTGTTTAAAAGCTTCCAAAGAAGGAGCCTCCACCACACTCCGGAGGCAGAGAGTTCCACTGCTGAACGGCTCTCACAGTCAGGAAGTTCTTCCTCATGTTCAGATGGAATCTCCTCTCTTTGTAGTTTGAAGCCATTGTTCCGCGTCTAGTCTCCAGGGAAGCAGAAAACAAGCTTGCTCCCTCCTCCCTGTGGCTTCCTCTCACATATTTATACATGGCTATCATATCTCCTCTCAGCCTTCTCTTCTTCAGGCTAAACATGCCCAGCTCCTTAAGCCGCTCCTCATAGGGCTGGTTCTCCAGACCTTTGATCCTTTTAGTCGCCCTCCTCTGGACACATTCCAGCTTGTCAATATCTCTCTTGAATTGTGGTGCCCAGAATTGGACACAATATTCCAGGTGTGGTCTAACCAAAGCAGAATAGAGGGGTAGCATTACTTCCCTAGATCTAGACACTATGCTCCTATTGATGCAGGCCAAAATCCCATTGGCTTTTTTTGCCGCCACATCACATTCCACATTATTATAATGTTGCTATTTGGATAATTTGTTTCTGTTTGATAGGATTATATTTTCTCTTCCTTCGCTATATGTATATATGTATGTGTATAGTGCATTTGTGTATATGTGTGTGTGCCTGTATACATATACATAGAAACATACACATATATGATACAGTAGTGTCTCGCTTACACATATATGATACAGTAGAGGTCACAGGTTTGAATCCAGGGAGCGGCGTGAGTTTCCGCTGTCAGCCCCAGCTTTGCCAACCTAGCAGTTCGAAAACATGCAAATGTGAGTAGATCCAGCAGGACGGTAACGGCGCTCCATGCAGTCATGCCGGCCACATGACCTTGGAGGTGCTTATGGACAATGCTGGCTCTTCGGCTTAGAAATGGAGATGAGCACCACCCCCAGAGTCGGACACGACTGGACTTAATGTCAGGGGAAAATCTTTACCAGGGGTCCTCAAACTAAGGCCCAAAGGCCGGATACGGCCCTCCAAGGTCATTTACCCAGCCCTCGTTCAGGGTCAACCTAAGTCTGAAGCAACTTGAAAGCACACAACAACAACAACAATTCTATCTCATCAGCCAAAAGCAGGCCCACACTTCCCATTGAAATACTAATAAGTTTATATTTGTTAAAATTGTTCTTCATTTTAATTATTGTATTGTTTTAAGTGTTTTTTTGCACTACAAATAAGATGTGCAGTGTGCATAGGAATTCATTCATGTTTTTTCAAATTATAATCCGGCCCTCCAACAGTTTGAGGGACTGTGACCTGGCCCTGTTTAAAAAGTTTGTGGACCCCTACATACAGGTGCGGAGTTGTTTGTTCTGCTCCACAATTACACAAAGTGGAGGATAAACAGCTGTTTCAATGCATTGTGATGTTTTTATGCTAAATTTGTAAATACAGTAATTGCTACATAACGTGACTGTGTATTGAACTGATTTTTCTGTTGATTTGTTATGAAACATGATGTTTTGGTGCTTAATTTGTAAAATCATAACCTAATTTGAGGTTTAATAGGCTTTTCCTTAATTCCTCCTTATTATCCAACAGTGTCGCTTATCCAACGTTCTGCTGGTCCATTTATGTTGGATAAGCGAGACTCTACTGAAATAATAATAAAACTTTTATTTCTTTGAGGTGGGTTACAGCACAGTTAAAAACACACAAATATTATATAAAAATCTTACAAACACACTTTATGATGGCATGCTCTTGTCAGGACCCACTCTTTAAGGGCAATTTTGTATAGTTCCAGGTATATTGTTGGAATTTCAGTGGGTGGTGGTTTGTTATTGACTGGTGCGAGAAGCAACTCCAATTTAAATTTCCCCTTTTTTACACAGCTATTAAAGGTATAGGAGCCGTCTGTACATTTCAGTGTGGGTTTACAGTAGTGGCAGGGATGCTTTGCCTTAATCAGTTCTGAGGGAAATCATAGAATCATAGAGTTGGAAGAGATCACATGGGCCATCTAGTCCAAGCCCATGCCATGCAGGGAAAAGCACAAAGTATCCCTGACAGATGCTATCTAGCCTCTGTTTAAAAGTTTCCAAGGAAGGAGCTTCCACCACACTCCAAGGCAGATAGTTCCACTGTTGAACAGCACATACAGCCAGGAAGATCTTCCTAATGTTCAGGTGGAATCTCCTGTCCTGTAGTTTGAACCCTTTGCTCCTAGTCCTACTTTCAGGTTTCCCCTTAACATTAAGTCTAGCTGTGTCCAACTCTGCAGGGTGGTGCTCATCTCCATTTCTAAGTGTTTCCTATAGACCCCTCCTAGGTCATGTGGCTAGCATGACTGCATGGAGTGCCATTACTTTCCCGCAGAAGCAGTACCTATTGTAGAAGCAGTAGGTACTGCTGCAGTACCTCACATTTGCATGCTTTCAAACTGCTAGGTTGGGAGAAGTTTCAAGGGCAGCAGAAAACAAACCTGCTCCCTCTTCCTTATGAACCTGTTTACATATTTATGCATGGCTCTCATGTCTCTTCTCAACCGTCTCTTCGGCAGGCTAAATATAGCCAGTTCTTTAAACCGCGTCTCATAGGACATGGTCTTTCGTCTTTTGATCATTTTAGTTGGCCTCCTCTGGACACTTTCCAGCTTGTCAATATCCCTTTTAAACTGTGGTGCCCAAAACTGGACACAGTATTCCAGGTGAGGTCTAACCAAAAGAGATACTATGTATTGTCGAAGGCTTTCATGGCTGGAATCACTAGGTTCTTGTGGGTTTTTTCGGGCTATAGGCCATGTTCTAGAGGCATTTCTCCTGACGTTTCGCCTGCATCTATGGCAAGCATCCTCAGAGGTAGTGAGGTCACTACCTCTGAGGATGCTTGCCATAGATGCAGGCGAAACGTCAGGAGAAATGCCTCTAGAACATGGCCCTATAGCCCGAAAAAACCCACAAGAACCAAAAGAGATACTTTTTGCGTCCTCCATTCCCTCATATCAGTATCTCAACTTTCCCAGTGGGATTCTGGAAGCAACCCCGTGGATTCCATAGGGTTTTCTTATGAGGTCAAATCCATTTTCCCCTACCTTTGCTAGGGAGGAGCTTTCCATGCTCAGTTATCAATATTGTTGGTGTTGTTATGGCTATACCTTGCTTTTCTCTCTTAAATGAGACTCAAAGCAGCTCACAACATTAAGACCAATGCAATTTAAAACCTATAACATAAATAGTAAAATAGAATGAAATCCAGCTCTCTTAGGTGAGGAGGGTTTTCCTCACTTAATCTTGGCAGGATTCATCTGCCAACCCTTATTTTGAAAAAAATACACACACTTACTACATCAGATTGCTTAAAAGAAAAGCCCATGCTAGATTGGCCCTGGTGATAGATAGCCAGGATTATGATAATGGAGGAGAAGCTTTTTCTGAAAGGATCCCAGTCTTTCTAAAACAGTGAATATTCCACTTGGTACCTTAATATGGTTATTTTCATTTGTATCTCACCTTTTCCCCCAATAAGAAGACTTAAGGTGAATGATGGCACATTAAAAAACTATGCTGATTACATAAATACAAGTCTCTTAAAGGACAGTTAAACAATTTATAAGTTTAAAGACTTTACATTTAGTCAAAAGATAGCAATCTTTGTATCTTGGTATGTGCTGGGGTTTGGTTCTGCATGGATATCTAAATCCATAGATGTTCATGTCCCATTATGTATAATGACATAGTAAAATAGTGTCCCTTATGTAGAATAGGGGAATCAAAATTTTCAAAACATGAATAGTGGAATCAGTGGATATGGAGGGCTGGCTGGACAGTAGCACAGTACATATTAAAAGCCCATCCTAGTCTGCGTAAAACTACAACTCCCACAATTCTGTAGCATTGGGCCATGGTTGTTAAAATTGTGTTAAATTGCATTAATTCTATATTGTAGATGCATCCTCTTAAGTTCATTTCTCCATTAAGTCAGAAAGTTCATCTAGTGTTTTGGGACTAACTCCTGCTAGAGCCGATAGAACAATAAGAGGGAAAGTGACAATGGATTTGATCTTGAAGACTTTGGAAGGAGGAAGTATAAGTGCAAGTGAAGCATACCTTACCTGGAATTCTGAAATGCTCCAGCATTGTCCGCATGTTTGACTCAGATAGTGGCACATTAGCTTTGTGATATTCAGTGTACACAAACTTTGTTTTGTGCACAAAATATTTATAACATTGTATAAAATTACCTTTCGGCTATGTACATAGGATGTTAATAAAACATAAAATAAATTTCATGGTTAGATTTGGGCCTCATCTGCAATATATGCAACTACAAATATTCCAAAATCCCAAACGCTTCTTGTTCTCAGGGTAACTCGGGCTGTAGTAGTATTGCATATCTCTGTTGTTGAGTACATTTGTTTCCAAATGTGTACAGTTATAATTAAACCTGCAAATGGGGAATAAAGGGAGGAAGGGAGGAAAAAACGTGTGGATAGCACTAATTAAATATTTGTTGTAAACTGAAGAACAGGCAATTACTTAAGAATGTAGCTTTGTCATTTCTGTGAAGTGGGACTCAGCTGCAGTATATTTCATGATTTTAATAATCTTACCCTCATAGCTGTTGCTTGTCTTCTTTGTTAATCTTAGTAATGGTCCTGGGATAACAAGACTTTTGTTTTGATGCTTTTCTGTTTGTTTTTTTTAAAGGAGAATTACCACAATGTCAGCTGCTTTGTTGGCCAAACCACAGATGCGAGGCCTTCTGGCCAAACGTCTGAGAAAACACATGGTAATAGCATTTTTATTTGCTACAGGATGTGCAGCTTCCTACAAGGTCAGTATATGAGAAATCAGTTCCTTTCAATGCTGTCACAATCCTGTGTATGTCCACTGAGGAATAAGCCTCATAACATTAAGTGGGCCTTTCATCTTTGTAAATCCATACATGGTTGAAGCCTTAATAAGGAAGTGGAGTTGCCCAGTGGTTCAGTGCTGTTGCAGTATATGTTTTATAAGCAACTGAGCCCCCAAATAATATAGGCTGCTTACCAGTAACATTTCCCTTCATAGAAGGTGGCCTGAGATACTTTAAAAATGTAATTTTGAACATGTTGTTCAATCTGATTTTTTTTTCTTTTCAGTTTGGTGTGGCTGAACCGAGGAAAAAAGCATATGCAGACTTTTACAAAAACTATGATGCCATGAAGGACTTTGAGCAAATGAGGGACGCTGGGGTTTTTCAGAGTGTGGGACCCAAAGGAAAATGAGGTATCCACAGGGTTTTCTCTTCCACCCAGATAGTTCTTTTTGGCAAGCTATATCTGTGTAATCTACTGTATTAGAAAGGCTCATGGTGGATGGCGATAGTGTGTTGATAAGCTCTGCTGTGTAACCTAGAACAAAACGTTTTGATAAATGAGATTATGAAGGCTGAGATGGTAAAATTATGTATCTGTGTAAATATGCTTCTATTTGAGGATAAACTGGTACTTTATGTTAGAATACATAGTATGAAGAAACAAGACAGGGGGAATGGAAATGGCAATGACATGAAGGTGTTGCTTTGCAAATCGTGCTTTTGAATGTCTAGTGTGTATATTTGGCAGTAGATTCATGAGGATTAAGCATCAGAATCCCAAGGGTCTAAAATTATGTTTGGTGCTTGTTGTTAGTAGCTAGTCTATAGCTACTAAACACTCACTCTTGTGAGTCTACTACTGTTGTCTCCTTCATCACTTGGTAGAGCAGACTAGACAAGAAAACTTTTGCTTGGCCTCTTCTCCAGAGCACTTATATTCTTTATGGCCTTTTCATTCCTTTTCCAAAATCTACTTTTTCCAAATAATTTATTCGCTCTTTAAAATGCTGATAGTGCAGCTGTTGAATGTAATTGCAACTGGATATACCATAACACTATGTAACATTATCTTTGTTCCTGGATTATAAATGTCATTTTCTAATTGGTTATATCATTAAAAAAACATGGAAAAAGTTTATAAAACTGCAAAAAACTTTTTTTTTGTGGGACATCCTGCCACACATTTTGCTATAGTTTTTCCAATGAATATCTGATAAGAGTCTCAATCAATTCAACACAGTTTGTGGCAGCCAAAAAACAAAGTTTCCTGAGTATAACAACTACTTTCAAAGTAAGTATTGGACAATTAAACAGGAAATTATACTTTCAAACCAGGAACAGGCAAGTTTTCAAATTTTGTTACATAGTGTTATCATTTTGAAATCAGCAGCCTGCTGGTTTGTGGTCCTATTTTTCATGTAAACAATATCAGTTGTGCAGCATGAAAACTAATTATGTATAAATATTTTGAAAACAGCAATCTGTTGCTCAGTTTAGATTAAAATGTTTTTGTGTCTTGAGATCTTTATTAATTGTTGGTTTATCCAGTTTTAATTACAAATTTTAAACTTCAACTCTAAGTTTAACTTTTGATTTGTGTGTTTTAATATGTGTATTTTATGGAGTGTTTTTAAATGATTGTGTTTTAGCAATGTTGTAACCTACCTTGAGCCATGAGGAGAGGTGGGTAAGAAATAAATTATTATTTTTCTTTCAGATTTGGACACATGACAACTAAGCATCACTCTTTCAGAGAACTATACTACGTGGTTCACCTCAACATTGAATATGCTGTAATATTGCTCTCATTAAATGAAGTACCTGTCTGATACGTCTTTGCCTCTTTTAGTTGACATCAGTACAATATTCCAAGCTTAAGTAGATTGGTCACAAAGAATTTATAAATCAGGCTTCCACCTTTCATCAAACCTTTAGCAACACAAGTTTCAATGAAGATGTGATTGAAAAAAGTTGTGATATGAACATAACATTTTCAGATTTTCCCTAGCTTTCACTTACACCTTACTGGATTGAGGAGGGAGAGTAGGAGAATTATGGCTCTCCAGGTCATTTTGGAGTAACCTTTCATCAATCTTGAACTTTGATCATGTTGGCTGGATCTGATGGGATTTAGAGTCCAGCATCATTTAAGTCAGGCCACTCCTGCTCTGAGCAAATTAAAAAGGGAGAATTCGAGGTTGGGCTCTTAAGAGATGGTAAATCTCTTGAGACTTAACATATTTACTGTTTATAATAATTTTTCATTAAGTTCTCCACATAGTATACCAGAAGACTTTAGCAAGTTAGCCATGCATCTATCTTACAACTATTTTACAATAAGGGATCTCATGTAGGTATGGACAACTGCTAAGGACTAGGAGGTGGTCTCAGGACACTGCTCCTCCCTTGCAAAAAAAGTTATTTTTATTATTTTGTCCCAGATGCCCTTTAAGGACATTTTCCATGTTTTTGGTCCACTGGACTGCTGTAGGCACAGGAGAAGTTTATTGGGCTTTTAAAAAAGTTACAGGAAGTGACCCAAGCGTTTATGTAATTGTTTTGATATGTTTTTGAGAGGACCTTGGGGACCACTGAAATTAACCTGTGGAACTACATCCATTTTGTGGACCATACTTTCCCCTGTCCTTATTCTAATAGTATCTTTGCTTCTCAGGATTGGCCTTGATGCTGCACTGAGGCCCTAGTTTGATGAAAGGTAATCCCATTGAAATTATTATTACTTGGGCTGTACGAAATATGTGTTTCATCTTTCCTGTGGGCAGGAGCAGGAAAGTACTGTACTTAGCCTCTGAAACTTCAAACAAGTATTTTAAAGTTGGGAACTTGGCAGTCATTTTTGTCCTGAAATGGCTCCCAAGTCCCCAGAAAAAAGGCCTCTTCTGTTTGAAAAGGAACTGTGCAAACAGAATTTCTTTGTAGTGTAAACTGTTAAATGTGGGATTGAAAATTTGTGGTCTGAATTGTGCTAGTTCCAACTAAAATTGATCCACTCAATTCTTGATGAAACAATTAGTAGGTAAATGCCAGTGATTCAGTGAATCTGCTCTAATTGGTTGAACAAGAGAATTGTGGCCTATATACACAAACACTGTACATTTGCAGCCTTGCTCTGTGCACTATATATTCCCTTTTGTTTTCTTGTCTTGATATGGGACTTAAATTCCATATTGGCATTGAGGATCTGGAAAAAACTTTAGTTATAGGCTTAACTATTACCTTTGGCGTTTCATGTTAGATTTTGCCCATATTATTGATCCAGTTTCAGCTCTCTACGTGTTGACTTGTAAATTAGAAAGAACACTTAAGAGGTACATCAGTGTATTGTTTCATTAAATCATAGATGTGATGGACAGCTGGGCAACAGTGTAGTGCTTATGCTTCATGTACCACATCCTCCCCACTCCTAAAGGGAAAAAAACTACATTTAACCTGATTGATGATTTGAGATAATCTCTGAAGTAATTATCAAAAACTTTTGATTGGCAGGTAAAAGCAGTGGAGCATTTCTGTATCACTAGTGATAACTGCTATTGATTTCAAAGGACTGGTATTTCCTCAGATGGCATGGTATTGTGTAAGGACTTAGCTTTCTTTCAGAAATCATCCAATAAATTAAAAAAGTGGTCACAGGGAATCCATAGGATGCTTAATAGAGATAATTCTGGCATCTAATGGAGGCCTTGAGATGTTGAACTCAGTCTAAAGCGTAGCAGTAGCTCTCTGTTGTGAGGTTGGCCTGCTTGCTAGACTGAACTTTCCTGTGGGATACCTCCATTTCAAATGGGATATAAATAATAGGAAAGAGATTAAAGCTGCAGCTGCATCCTTAAATTACAATTCGCTTGGAAGAATGTTTACATGCTATAATGAAATACATACTATGGATATGCAGTCTTGTTTGTTGGCTTCATAATTGCAGCTGTTCTGGGATGGACATTACAAGGTAACAATAGATGTAGCCAGAGGTGATTACTGTGAAGGTAGAGAAAGCAGTGTTTGTATTGTAGGCTATTAGTTAAGTCACCAAATTTCAGATATTTGTCATATGAAGTATATGTTCTGCTACTGTAGGAGAATTGCTGTTACTGGTATGCAGTGATTTAGTTGATGACAGTGGCTGTATTGTTTTAGTTTACTGTATTTATGTCCCAACATTTCATCAGAATTGGTGCTCAAGTAGTGATTTCTATACTTCCCTGGCAGCCTTAATGTTAACTTTTCTTTAGACATTTTTGCTGGTTACATTTTCTTGAATTCTGTCAGCTAATTTCTTACAGTGTTACTTCCAGCAGTAAAGCGCTGTCCAGATGACCTCTAACTGTGGAGTGTATGAATTAGTTTGGCCATTAAAATGCTTTTCCAATCCCGATGTTTAAAAAGGCAATAACAACGCATTCCCTAATTTAAGACAAGAAGTTGGAAAGTCTGAAGATCCCTTGTTACTGCTTGGTGTTTTGAATCAGTAACTAAGAACTTACTAAATAGCTTCACTAGAATGAACTATTTGGATGTTTTCTCATCAATAGTGGTGAAATCTTAACAGTCCATTTGAAGTAGATGTTTGGCTAGCAGAAATTGAATTTACAAGCTTGAAAATAAAATACAGATGGTTTTAATTTGGAAACCTTTTCTATGTGAAGACTTAATAAATAGCTGAAAGGATTGCCAGCGGTAGTAGATGCTAGTGAGACAACTATGTTGGAGCTACTGAAACCATCCACTCAAGTGTAGTTTTAAAAAACCACCCATATTCCCATCAGTGAAGCACAGGCGGTGCTATTCTGTGTTTGTTTACATCAAGAAAGATATATGGACAATTATGTGGGTTGATTTCTCCCACTTTCAGCCCTGCTTTGAATAGACTACACAGTCTTACAAATTCATCATAATTTTTAAAGCTCTTGTATTAGTCTCTGGAGGTATATAAGAATCATAGAAAGATGCTATTCGTTCCAACTTCTCCATGAAGGCTGTTTGTTTGCAAGAAAGAGTATAGCAGCCACATAGGAAACAAAAGAGATATAGATACAGGGACTACATAACTTCACTACTGACCAGAAATAACACTTCTGTGTAACTCTTGGGTTAGATTCCCACATAAGGAATGCCTGGTAGTATTCCTTAGTTGCTTATAAACTAGTGTATAGCTTTGTGTGGCAGTGATGTTGGAGTTTGCATTTTAGATAGCATAGATGGTAACAGGTATTCACCATGAATATACCTTACTCCCTCCATTTTCTCCTATCTAGAGGTAATCTGCATATTTTCTGTCACTGAATTAAGCTGCATCTAATCAGTTTTGTTGGGAGACTGCAAGTTCTGGTGTCAGATGGAGGCACTTTTAGTAAACTCAGAAAAGGTGATTCAGAATCCCGTGCAATTAAATGAATGAGCTTGAAAAAAAGTTTATTAATGCCTCTGATGTTAACCATGCAACTACCTACACCTTGGTGCTTATGTGCTATGCTCAAAGTGTTATAAATAGCTGAAAGCTAGTGCAGTGTACTGTTTTGAGAGTTGGACCAGGAGACTGGAAGACCAGGGTTCAACCATGGAAACCCACTAGATGCCCTTGGGCAAGTCACATTCAGCCACAGAGGAGGGCAAAGGCAAATACGTTCTGAACTAATTCTGCCAAGAACTCCCTTCCTGTGATACATTTGCTTTAGAGTTGCCATAAGTCAGAAATGGCTTGAAGGCACAGAGTAACAAAAGCGTTCTAAGGAAGGCAGCCATATTTGTAGGAAAAATAAACCTTGATAGCTCAGGTCTTCAGGTTTGGTTGGCCAGATGGTTGTTTTGAGCAAGTTGTTTGACCTGTCAGAACGTATCTCCTTCTACGGCCCACCTCAGAGTTTAAGATCTTCTGGGGAGGCCCTGCTCTTAGCCCCACCTTTATCACAAGTGAGATTGGTGGGGACGAGGGACAGGGCCTTCTCGGTGGTGGCCCCTCGCCTGTGGAATGCACTCCCCGGGGAAATTAGGTCATCAACATCCCTCCTCTCTTTCAGAAGGAAATTAAAAACCTGGATATGGGACCAGGCCTTCGGGTAAGCTGGCAGATGGATAAAAGACAAAGGACAATGATGATGCTAGACAGATCATGGATTTATGAATTGGCAAACATTGACCACAATATGATTTATATTGCTGTGACTGTATTGTTATGATTGTTTTAATTAGTTATAATTGTTGGCGTTATATTGTAATTTTGTATATTGTATTTTGTGAATTGTCGGGCATCGAATTGTGCCTTTTGTAAGCCGCCCTGAGTCCCCCCTAGGTGGTTGAGAAGGGTGGGGTGGAAGCACCCCAAATAAATAAAAAATAAATAAATAAGTAATTCATTTAGGCTTTTTGAAGACGTGTGGTAGAAATAATGTGTCAGATGGATATCTGTAAATTATTCGATGCTCTTGGTAGTTTCAAATGCTACCTGTAAATGCTTTTTTATGCAAACTGTAAGGCATTTAATTCCTAGATACCCAGTAATTTTCTGTCATAATTCTGAAATAGGGCTATAAACAGGAATAACTATTAAGAGTTATGGCATCTGCTACTGGAATAAAAGCCTGATTGTGGAGGTCATTTTTCTGTTATTAATCTTTAATATAATGAAGACATTCTACATTAGACTTGCTATACGTGAAGCACCTTGATGCACAGGCTAGATAGCATTATCATTTTGGTATGGTCTTGCAGTTTACACTAAATTTATATCCAAGTGCCCATATTTTAGTAAATGGTCAGAATTCAATAATCTCCATGCAGCTGGCTTTGGAGGCAAAGCTGCTTTTGGGAGGATTGTAA